GCCTGGCTCCTACTGAAATACTTAAGCCATTATTGTGTGTGTAATAGTATTAATATTCATAATAATTTACACTTTATAAACAGTGTTTATATATAAGTGTTTTCTAAAAACTTAAATTTAAATTTGTTGCTATTTTTTCAGTTATAGACCTGAGTATATTTTTTTGAAATTCATATTCCAGAATTCAAAGAAAACTTACCTTCTCATGACAGCCAAAAACACTGAATGTGCAAGGGATTGGAGCCGTCGGGCAGTCTAGATCATAATGATTAGGCATCTGAAAATCAAAATGAAAGCTGAAAAATGACTTCCCCTGCATATCATGCTCTCGATGATGATAGTACCTTTAAAAATCTTATACTACGCAAAACTAAGTATTATCTATAGCTTCTTCGCAATTCTGAGAGAAATTAAATATTAACATCTTACATCACACAATTCACTAAACTTCATTTCTTAAAATGGGTTTGTTTTTACTGTAGAGAACTGGCGCCCTCTTGTGGTATTTTTTAAGAAAACACCCCCTAACAACTACCATGGCAAACCCAAAGCCCTGTCTGTGGTCTAGGCCATTTAGTAAGGGACAGGTCAGTCATACATTCATTAAAGCCTCTGAATAGATCCATTACTTCCCATATGACAATATTTTATAAATTATCTTATCTTTAAAACTCTGGTATATTTTCTCTCTACTGGGGAACTTGGTTATTATGGTAGAAACACAAGCATCCTAGGCTGGACACAGCACCCCAGCACTTGATTCAAGTGACCATGTGGTCTTAGGTCTGTCTTAGTTGCTTCAAGAGAAGTGTCACCAGTTAGCACAATCAACACGGACAGACATTTGTTATTTTTCTGCAAACAGAACTGACCCTGGACACAGTCCACGGAAGCTTTTTATTTATATGTTCTATATTTCTAGAAAAAGAATCCAAGGATTTTCCCTCCTGTGTGTTTTCATCTTGCTTTATCACGGTCCATGATACCAGGTGAGGTTGTCAGAACAAAAAAAGCCAAACTAATGGGATGGGAGTAGATTATTATTCATTCTCTCATTTTCCTATCTAGGGTCGATCACTCAACCGGCTTGTGCAGTTCACAATATTTCCCCCAGCTCTGTGATCATCAATGATTTCAAATTCACCAACGAAACCAGGCTTTATCATTACAGTTAGGAAATGAACGATGACTTTGGAGCAGGGCCTGATGAGGACCTGGCATTTGCCTCTCTTCTCAGCACTGCTGATGCTCCTGAAAGCATCTGCCAGTATATGCATGCACACCATGAGGAAAGATGGTGGAGAAATTTAAGCCTTTAATTTGGGGGCTCAAAAAATATCTTCTTTAGGGTGAGATGCATTAAAGATCATATTTTTAAAATGGTACCAAGGGAGCAGGGTGTGATGGTACATGCTTTTAATCCCAGCACTTAGAGGCAGGGGCTGGTGGATCTTTGTAAGTTCAAGACCAGACTGATCTACACAGTGAGTTCCAGGCCAGCCAGGGCTACATGGAGAGACCCTGTCTCAAAAACAAAACAAAACAAAACAAAACAAAAAAAAGACAAAACAAACCCCCGAACCAACCAACCAAACACAGAAAAGGTACCAAGGGGCTGGAGAGGCAGCTCACTGGTCAAGTACACTCACCTAGCATGTGTGAACTTTGGTGTGTGAAGCCCTAGCACAGAAAGGAAAAAGAGAAGGAAAGGAGAGGAGGAGGGAAAGGAAGAGGAGGAGGAGGAGGGACAGAAAGGAGGAGGAAAGAAGCCACGTGAAAGTGGGTCCAATTTTCACTAAAACTGAGCCATAGTTTTGGATGGGAGGTGAAGTTAATGTCACATTAAGGATCAAAGTCCAGTCTTTCTGATGTTTCATTATGGTTTCTGTCTGTATTAAACTTTATTTTTGTTGAGCTTTTATAAGTATAGCATAGTTTCTTTTAAATATTGAGAACAAAAAAGAAAACTGGGGTATGGGATGACTTCATGAGCAAGATGTTTAACATCTTCAAATTAGGATTCTTGAAAAAACACTACTAACAGATACATGGGAACATTTAGTCAACTTGTTATTAAGTAAGTAATCAGTGAGTTTTTACTTACAGACTTTTGGGGCTCACACAGATTTTGTGACTAATATTCATCCTTTGTGGTAAACTCCCTAAATGTTAACAGATAGCAGCTGGGTGGAATTTTCCTTTCTTTATTAGTAATTAAAATATAACAGTTTTCTATTACAACTGTTGCCTTTGATGATGCTCAGCAGTGGTTCCGGGAGCCACTGCATGCATGCCCCAGGAGCTGGCGCTGCACAGTACTGTGCTACTCAGCAGGTGAGCTTTCTCCTGCTTCCTGGTTCTCTCAGCCAACCGCTGGACAACCAGGCCCTCATGTCAGTGTGTAAATATATTCTTCTACAAGTCTGTTTTAAGTGGGGCCCTTTACTTTCAATTATTTTTAAAATTATAAGTTTTGGTTCAATTTTGTTCATTTCTTTGCCTGTGCTGGGCACACTAGGTAGATTCTCTATTCCTCTGAGATCCATCCCTAGCCAATGGAATCCTTTTTTTTTAAGTCTCTCTCTATGTAGTCCAGGAACTTACTATGTAGATGAGGCTGGCTTCAAACTCAGAGATCAACCTGCCTTTGGTTCCTGACTGTTGAGATTAAAGGTGTCCACCAGCCACCATGTCCAGCTCACCATTGGAATATAAACAAAGGAACTATGCAAATGAGTCAAAAATTTTAAGCATCTACAAATGCTAGATTTTTGTTCTTTTGAAATATTTATTAATTAATTTATATAATTTTTTTGCACAGCAGAATGCTTCAACACATGATTTTGCCTTATTGATTTAAAATTTTAATTAAAAAAAAAACCGTAGCACTTTTTTAAGCTCTTAATAGTGATTTGCAAAAGAGATTCCTACCTGTTCTCTGATGAGGATTGTACCACAGTATTCACAGATGATATTTGCCAAAGGACAGCTTTGATCATGGATCTAAGTTGTATGAGAGAATTAAGAAATATATGAGAAAGTCTGAAAAGGTAAAAAGACTAATTTTTATAGAGTAATTTTTTCACCACGAGCAAATGAAGAACATTTGTTTATGTACAGTCACAATGTGAGACTTTTGTTAGTTAACGAGAGTCTTCAGACTCCTTCAAAGAATATGTTAACATGCAACACAGCGATGATTTCTTTTGAATTTGAAGCAGAGAACCCTTGAATAGCATGGACATCACTTGCTGATGTAATTTTCCAAGGGCTAAAGATTTTAGCAGCAGCATGACAAGTTAATTACAATTCTTTCCAGTAGGTTAAAGTTAACAAACAATCAAGAGCATTCGGGCACAAGGCTTTGGTACCTAAGTTCTCAGAAGGGTGAGTTCCATTTTCTAGAACACAGTAACTTTGGTTTAATAGATATGCTGAGAAATAGACAACCTTCCTCATTAGTTCATGAAATTTGTTCAGTTTGAGAAAGGTACCAAATTTGTTCCAGTTATGACTGAGACTTTACATATTTATTATTAGCAAGTTAGCTGAATTTTTGTGACTATTTTATTATCACACTAAATATAAAATGCTCGATTTCCTAAGAAGCACATTTAGAAGAATAAATGTTTAAGGAAGTAACTAAGTATCAGTTATGGAGGAACATAAACTAACGTAGGTATTTCAGTAAGGAGCACAAGGGTAGGCTTCAGTGTCACCAGACACTGTCACCATTAGAATGAATGAAAACAACCGCTCTACTGTCATGATGCTGCTGGGTACCATACTGTTTCTTTTAAAGGTTAACCTCAACTGAAGGACAATACACATTGAAAAGTCAATGGAGCCAATGACTTAGCACCAGTGGAACACACTTTGCCATATTTAATGGATTCTTTCTCGCAGATGCGACAGCTCACACTCTTTGTGAAACAAGTCTGTATATATTTTACACAGTAATCAAGCTACTTCTTTGTTTGCCATCAGTTCATTCATTAAAATTCACAGATAGGGAGTAAACCAGCATATATGTACCTTTCCTAGCAGCTCCTGTTCATTGTTTACTCTCAGTAATTAGTTTAATGCTTTCTAAGGATATATAAATATAAACTCCACACTTATGGACTGTGGGTTCCCTGAAACTTCATTTCTTTCATAAAAATTAGCTTTTAAAAACTGATAATATAGCTGGGTGGTGGTGGTGCACACCTTTAATCCCAGCACTCAGGAGGCAGAAGCAGGTGGATCTCTGAATTTCAAGCCAGCCTGGTCTACAGAGTGAGTTCCAGGATAGCCAAGGCTACATGGAGAAACTTTGTCTTGAAAAACAACGACAATAAAAAACCAAAACAAAAAACTGATAATATAAATTCATTTTTTCATTTTTGTATTTACATCCTTATCCAATGCTGATGTCTTCAAATATATACTTTAAATGCAATGAACAAATCTAAGAACATACCTCTTTCTCTTCAAATGGCATGGACACAGCACAGTTTACACAAGAAACCAGTCTCCTGGGACAATCCTCGATAATGTGTATATTAAACTGGCACTTTTGGAAAGGACGTTGACATTGGGGACAATTCATAAGAGCAAATTCACAATGTGCTTGATGATCCTATAATAAAGGAAAAATAGTTGGTGAGTATTTGAAAACTCTAAAAATGTTTTCTAAACATAATCTTTTCAGAATTCATTTTAACTGTCAATTTGATATAACACAAGTCACCTGAGAAGGGAGTCTCAATTGAGGGACTGCTCAAATCAGACTGGCCTCTGGGCATGTCTCTAGGGGACTGTTTTGACTGTTAACTGATGTAGGAGGGCCCAGCCCACTGTGGGTGGCACCATTTCACGGACAGGTGGTCTTGGGCTGTGTAAGAAAGCTAGTTGAATAAGGGCCTATGAGCTACCCATCCAATTGTGTTTCTCCAGTGATTATGTGTGAGCCCAGGGCTGACTTCCTCAGCAACAGACTACTACAGCCTTTCTTACCCAAAGCTTTTGGTCAGAGTGTATTATCACAGCAACAGAGACCAAATAAGAACAGTGACTAAAGACCACATTCTCTAGCCATACATAGCATGAAGGCCTTAATGAAGTCATTCAAACAATAATTTGTGATGTCAAGTTTATAAAAAGACTATGAAGTCTCAAGTTAATATTTCTAGTTAGAGAAGTTTTGGAAAGGAGTTAGATTTCCAGATTAGCAATTTATAGTTGTGTTAAAAGGGTCACTCCCACAAAAGGGGCTGAAGAGGTGGCTCGGTGGTTAAAAGTGAATGCTGCTCTTCACAAGGACCCAAATTCTGTTCTCAGCATCCACACTGGGCTGATAACAAATGCCTGTAACTCTGGGGAATCTAAGACTTCTCCTGGCCTCTATGGGCATCCACATGCATGCTCGGACAGACAGACAGACAGACAGACAGACACACACAGACACACACACACACACACACACACACACACACACACGAGTAAATCTTTTTTTAAAAAACAGCAAAATAAAAGGGACAGACTTCAAATCTGCCCTAAACATTTAATTTCAAACAGGATATTACTCATATTTGATTTCTAGTAAAAAACAAAACAAAACACCAAAGAATTGATTTATTTTAATTAAAAAGGAAATGATCTGATTGCTTCAGTTAATTTCCAACAATATGAATATTTTATCTAGTGACTAATACAATGTGCAATTTAGAAAAACAGAGAAAGGTACTGAGATGATGGCTGGAAGACACTTTTTTTCTTATTTCAAAACGAGAGAAATAAAGTTCTGGGAGTAAGATAACTTGCAATCATGGGGCTCTTCAACTGTTGGAACTGCAGATGTGTTATCTGAAAAACTCTAAAGAGCACAGACTTGTTTCATTGCTGGGACAAAGCCAAAGCAGGAAGACTAAAACATTTTCTAATTTTTGACATGTAATGATGGCAAGAATTTATTCACCAGTCCTGATCTGCTATAACGATGCACAGCTAACAGCGCAGTCATTATGCCGTAGAGATGACATTGTGACAACAGCATCTTTCTGCATACCTCGAGATGTCTCAGTTCCATCTTCTCCGAACAGCCTTTATTTGGGCACTTTACCATCAGAGACAGAATCTCTCGCTTTGCGAAATTGTCAGGAAACAGTTGATTTTCCAGCAGTATTTCATTGTCAACTGGGCACTTGTGACCTGCATCCCTAAAAGAAGCAGGAACTCAAGAGTTAGTAAAGACTGACTGCAGCTCTCCTTATGAAATAACACATGATTATATGCACAGCAACACCAGAATGATAGTGTATTCGGAGTTTAGGAATTCACTTATGAAATGAATGTGAACTAGCACTGCACTATTTATCAAAGGCTAACAGGCTGTAGATTGGGGGATAGATTCCAGCTAGAAAATAAGCAAAACATTGAATAAAATTATAGTTTGGTTGGCATAAACATGAAGTGAAGGTCAGTTAGGAAAGAATTCTGGCAATCTGGCTGGCTGTGCTCTGTAGTACCTCTATAGTCTACCAGTATGTCAGACTCAGCTGCTTACAGTATTAGCAACACATTTTCTGTGTTATAAACAGAAGTTAAACCAGTTAGCAGTACCCTTCTGAGGCTTCCTGTAAGCTTTGAAATGAGGTCTATGATACGCCAGCTCCTGAGCAACAGAAGGATGATTTTGCTTGCACATCTTGGGTGAACTATAGTAGATCTAAAGGTCCTCTGTGATGGGCTTCCCAGTGTTCTACCTCTCCTCACCTTATGGTGGGAAAAAAATCATCTTCGGGAAACCTGGGAGTCTGCCATTCTCTTTGAAATTTTTGGTATGTTTCAAAAAAATCTTTTTTTTTTGAAGTAAAATAAAAATAAGATATTTTTATTTTTAATTATGTGTATGTATCTGTGTAGGGGTACGTGTACATGAATGTAGGTGCTCATGGAGGCTAGAGGTATTGGATCGTATGGAGTTGTAGTTATAGGCAGTTATGGACTACCTGCTAGGGGGTTCTGGGAACCGAACCTGAGGCCTCTTCAGGAGCAGTAAATGCTCTTAACTATGAAGCTATCTCTCCAGCCATCCAGAGATGTGATAATGAAGTAGGGCACAGGAGCCTTAGTCAATCACTGTAACATTCCTTCAACACTACTTGCTTCTAGGACTGGACATGGTATCTGCCGTCAAACAGCACAGAACTAATCAAAATGAGACAGAGCTGATCTTTATGGGGTCTGTTTAAGATTACATAATGGATGCCAGGTATGGGATCTCTGTGAGTCCCACTTAGGGAGCTCTAGGACAGCCAGGACTACATACCTTGTCTCCAAAAAAAAAAAAAAAAATTACATAATTAACTGTCAGATACTTTAAAACACTGAAAGCCTCCCCTACCCACCCAATGGATTCTGTAACCTACAAGACTCACTCCACTGTCCAAACCCACCAAATCCATCACCTTCCCCCTGGCCAATGCCCCCCCCCCCCCAATATCAGTAGCCCTTAGAGTCACAAGCACCACTGGCACCAGCTGGAAGAAGAGCAGACTCCCTGTCAACAACCCTCTCCAGCAACATCAGCAGACCCTAGAGAGGCACAAGCACCACTCACACCAGTTGGAAGAACAGGCACAGACACACTAGTTAGAAGAAAAGACTCCATTGGCACAGGTACAACCCACACCAGTAGGAAGAACAGACTCCATAGGCACAAGTAAAACCCACACCAGCCAGAAGAACTGGATAATACACTAGATCTAGGCACTCAACACCCCCCCCCCCCAAACCTCAACTGAGACAACCCTACTCTATCTGACAACCAGCTAATCACCTCATGGGAGGCTTTACCCTTTCTGAGGGGTGGATGGGGGGTGGTGGTGGTAGTGGTTGAAAGGAGGTGGGAGAGGGAATGGGAGGAGAGAAGGGAGGGGAAATATAATATATATGTAAACAAACAAACAAACAAACAAAAAAACCCCCAAAAACCCAAAACAAAACACAGAAAGTCAGGAACAAATCTTATAAAACATGCATATCTAAGCGAAAGAACTTTACAAAGTAAATCTAAAACTATTACCCCCAGTTTTAGAAAATCTAAAAGAAAATGAATTAGACCAAGATCCACTTTGATTTCTTGAATAATAGTCAATGAAGAATTTACAGCAGTTCCTTTTAAAAGAAGAGTAAAGCCATGGTATTCTGCCATTTCTAGCTTTGAGGGAAATGGGACTAAAGCCTCAGATTTCCTTTTGTGGGATTTCTTTCTCTTATCACTATCTTACTTCAAAATATTTTGCAACAAAGATTAGCTAGCTACCTTCTTGGACACTTGATAAAACAGTGTATATTTCTACCTATAAGAAATCAGCATGTCACATGTGCTACCATTTTATCTAATTATAATATATTAAAACATGGACAGGAGGGTGAGCCTTAAACATTGATTTGCTGTGGTCTAAACCAGAGGCCCTAGGGGACACTGTGGCCTCACGGGCTGGGCTGAAGGTGATACTATTAGCATCCAGTGGACACGCAGCAGGCATGAAGCTCAGGTTCTAACAGGAGAAGACATCCTGCCTTAATAAAGAATCATCTGGCCTAAAATATCATCAACAGTGCCACGGGTAGGAAACAAACACACAGAGAAACAACAAACACATAACCCTATACTCTATCCTCTACAGTTCTTACTGATTCAATGCCAGGCAACACATTTCCCCTCAAATTGAAGAGATGTGCTGCTCCCTTGTGATTCAAGCTCCAGGTAATACGGTCACCTTAATTTCAAGTTTTATTGAAATGTTGGCACAGAAATTGAGAGATAAGAATTCCTAGACCATTGAGTATCCCAAGATGGCTTTAGTCTACTTAGGAATCCTTACAGTTTGGTTCCTAATGCAGCAATGTTCAGAACAGAGCTTTGGAGAAGTGAAGCTTTGGAACTCAACCAGGGCTCTGACCTCCTCAGTGGATTAATCCACTTGTGGGTTCATAGTCTGTTGGTCAGTGTGAAAGGTAATGGAAACCCAGGAGATGGGACCTAGCTGAACTGAATGAGGATCTTTTTCTCTTATATATTTTAGTCCAGTTACAACATTCACATACCAAGTGCCTACTGTGGGAAAGGCACTATTCCTGTAACTAAAGAAAACTGATTTAACATCTCAGTCTCAAAGAGCTACTTTCGAGTGCTGTATATAGGCAGAGAAAAAAATCGTACAGATTATCAGTTATTTAAGGACAAAAGTGCTGGGGAGAAAAATCAAAGCCTAGCCTGGTAAGGAAGATCTGGAGTGTAGGAAAGCACTTGTGGCTTGCTGTGCAACAGAGTAGCCAGGACACCTAGGAGTGTGTTCCAGTTCAACAAGGCAGGCACACGCCTGGCATTTACAAGCAGCAGCACGAAGAAGGAGTGGAAGGAGAGTGAGCACTTGGAGAGGGCAGAAAATGAATCATATTATTCCCAGATAGCTCGTGCAGTATGTTCTGAGCCAAGGGAGACATCATGTGACTTATATGGCAGGGCTTGCTGTAATGAGACTGAGTGAGGACAAGGCTAGGAGGAGAAAGGTCTGTTAGAGATGACGTCAAGCAATGTATTCATGTATGGCTGGTTGTGTGAAGGGTACAGTACCAGTGGGGGCAGAAAGAAGGGACTGGATTACAGAAATGCTGGTCATTTTTACAGCTGCTCAGACAGGAGACAACAGAATTTACCACAGCTAGTATCAGAATATATAATCACTCCCAGAATCAGCGTTACTCATCTGTTGGATTTACCATATTCTAGTAGGATAACTCAAGGCAAATTAAAAATACTATTGTCATGAAACATAGAATCCTCTCCTAGTCTGCTTTAGAACTGCCTGAGGCAAAAGTAGCTATTTACTTTCCAGTTTACCTGAGGCAAAGGATGGGAAAACACAGACGCCTCCTTTCAAACTGCAGTACAAACTGGGATGGGACCCTAAGTACCTCATTTTTCTATTCATTCTTCTTTTTTCCTGAGCAGTTTTTTCTGTCTGCCTATTTTTGGGATGACCTGTTTCTTTTCTTTTCTTTCTTTCTTTTTTTTTTGAGACGTTTCTCTGTGCAGTCCTGGCTGTTCTGGAACTTGCGTTGTAGACCAGGCTGGCCTTGAACTCAGAGATCCATCCACCCGCCTCTGCCTCCCAGGTGCTGGGATTAAAGGCGTGTGCCACCACCCCCCTAGGGATGGCTTGTTTACAACACGCTTTTTGTATTTGGTTGTTACAGGCGTCGTTCTTTCTTAAAATCAAATACCTTATGGATTTGATGATGCAGGCTTTGCAGAACCTGTGGCCACATGGTGTTTGCACGGCTTCTCGTAAGGCCATCAGGCAGATGGGGCACTCGTACTTGCTCTCCAGAGGGGGGTCGAACTCCACATCGTAGCCCTGGACCTCCTCCAGGAAGGAGCTGGAGAGGGTCCCCGTGCTGGCAGACCCACCCACACTGTCGTCTTTCATGGCGGCGCTGCAGGAGGAGGCCATGGCAGCACAGCAGTCACTCGAGGACTGGCTGGACCCACAGCTGTGTTCACAGTTTAACAGACTCATAGTAGCTTTCTATCAGTCAGCCTACAACAGAGCAAGAAGGGAAACAACAGCAACAAGGCTTTTAGCATGCAAACATAGTTTACCTGTACTAGTCACCTAGTAGTGCACACATACTGTTTCAGTTTGTTTCATGTGACTAACATTTCATGGGAAGTTATCTGAGCCCCTCCTGCAAATGTTTGTGAGTCACCTATGCCAAACACAGAGACCAGACAGATCCTCTACGGAAAGTGCCTGGTCTAATGCAGTGACGACGACAGAAGGTTAAAAGAGGAAAGCGCTTCAGTTCAACAGCCCATCATCTGTTCACAGTGTCTGAGGTCGGGAATTCAGTGTTCACTGTCATGCCCCACACACAGCACAAGAGTTCTGCATATAACAGTAGATGCTCACTAAACACTACTGAGGAGGTTGTCATGTCATTAAGGGTCCAGTGGGTATTCTCAGCTGAAGAGAACAGTACAGCCAGCAGGGAACCAAGTGATCACACGCCACCAGTACTGGGTGTGTGTGTGTGTGATCTGGGGCAAGTAAGCAGAACCACTCAGAACCACTCAGAACTTCGTTTCTTCTGATCTAAAATTCCATGTAGATTTCTAAATGCTCAGTGTGGCAATTTCTATTATATAGAAAGAATGGAATTTAAAAGTATATATTTATTTCCTTCTGCCTTCCGCCAGATCAGATGACCATGTTTCACTACTAATGACTGGAAAAACATGTGAGCTTTCTTTGCCTATGGAAAACTATTGTACTAGCAGACATGCCTTCAAATTCTACACTGTTACATTACGGACACGAGACGTGAACGTTTAACAGCAACTTATAATATCTACAACCAGCCATGTCTTTAGCTTAATTATCCTTGAGGAAACTTCCTAATGTAAACTATAATTCTAGAAGCAGATGCAAACCTCCAATCAGCAGAGCAGACAATAGCCCTCATGTCTGTCTACATAAAAATTGTCTGCCAGTCTGCCGAACGGAGGACTAAGCAGTAGCTACCATGTCCCTGAAGCGGCTCAGTGGGTGAAGGTGCTTGCCTCTAAAGCTGACCAGCCGAGTTTAAGCCCTGGAACCTATAAACTGTCCTAAGACCTCCACACGTGCCACCCACACTCCTCTCATACAGCAGCACCCAGATGTATTAAACAGCAATAAAACCTGTAACAACAGCAACAATAAAAGAAAGAAGTTCTCAGTTGGGTCTAGTGGGGGCAGGTCTGTAATCTTAACTACTAGGGAAGCTGAGGCAGGAGGAGAATGAATTCTAAATGAGCCTAGACAACTTAGTGAGACCCGCTTTAAAACGGTCAAAAGAGGGCTGGGAAACAGCCCAGTGGCAGAGGACTTGCCTGGCATGTGAGGCTCTAAGCTCAATCCCCTGAACTGGAAATACAGATGGGTGTTCACTATCTTTTCACCCCCAGGTACAAACACCTTTCGTGAGATGCACCTCACGCCTTCCAGTCACTGTCTGACAGGCACCTACAAAGAAGCAGGAGGCCTAGAGGATGGCTCAGAGGTGAAGAGCTCCTGCTCTTCCAGGGGATCTGAGCTGCGGTCCTTCTCCCATGTTGGGTGGCTAAGCCCCCTGTAAGTCTGGCTCCAGAGGATCTGGCCTCTCATGTACAGACACACATACAAATAATTAAAAAGAAAATAAATCTTAGAAAACAGAACAAAAAACCAAAGCCTAGAAGTGGCAGAGCTCTTGTTGTAAGGGCAGGACCGTGACCGTACTGCAGGGTAGTGCCCAGGGCCGGGCCGGACCGTCTGCAGCTAGGCCCTCCTCAGTCACTTGGTCATGACTTGTGTGAAGCGGATAATCTTACGCTTCAGTTTCCTCTCTCATTAGCCAGAGGTTCCATCTGAGAGTTCTTGCAAGGATTGCATGTGCTAATATGCATTCAACACTGAGAGTTGCATCTGGCAGTCAGAACAAGTGATTATTTCATATAGTTTTATACAGCGTTGTCTTCACTTATTAGAGCGAAACCATGCAGCTTAAAAAGGTCAACTTGCCTAAGACCACCAATTAAGCAACAGAGTGGGACCAAACCCTAAAGTCTACCTGATGCCGGAGCCTAGATCCTCCTGCACTACATTATGTTTATCTGTGTTTTGACAAAATAAAAAGAGTTATTTCTTTTTAAGTGCTGTCTAGCATTATTACATTGAGTTGATATAACTCCAAAAATTCACCTGAGACCTCATACGTTTACTTTACTTTTGATATAATTTTGAAAGACTTCATACCATTTTTGATGTAATTTTGAAAAGTTGAAATTACCTCCCACAGCCTTGCCATTTCTAATGTGAACTCCTAGGAAAGGCTCGTTCTGACTGGAAGACATAAGGAATAAGAGGCAGTGGCACACGGTAGAACTAGGCATGCACGCCTTTCTTCAAAGATGAGTAAGACCTCTTTTAGTGCCTTCTTATTTGAGGACAAATGACAGCTATGCCACACCACGGGCCATGTTCTCTGTCATGTTCCTTCTCACACATAATCTTGCATCTACTTCTTTAGTTGTGTTTCTAAGGGTAGAACTGTTGGGTGAAAGGACATGCTATTTTTAAATTTTTCTGATACATGATGTTGCTTACCCAATATATATCAAAGGCTTTCTAGTCTCCATTCCCGCACAGTGTATACAAGACTGTCCATTTTATGTATCCTTGATAATAAACTCTTACAATTTTTAGTTGTTTTGTCTTGCTTTGCTTAGTAAAGTCATTCCTGAGACATGGATATTTGTTACTGCGCTGTACAGCACATATCAAAGTGCTAGCCATGTGGCAAACATGAGTCTTCCCTTCCTGCCAAATGTTTGGTTTAAAATTCAGCTATGGACAGTCTCTATACTGCTTCCTTGCTGTCCAGTTCAAGATTTGAACATCATCTGATTTAAAGAGATCTTTTACAAACCACATGTTCCTAGGAAAACATGCTTGAGGGTAACAACTCCTTAAAAGGATGTCCACTGAAGGAGTGCATTGTAAGTGCACTCTTAAAAACCTACACAAGCATCTGTGGACAAAGGAGAGGCAAGAACGTAAGGAAGGCGTGAAGATGACCACTGTCTTCTGGGAACGACATGGCCACTGCCGCCATTATTACCTGCTCAAGATCCCTCCTTAGGAGCTGTTAAGACGGCTCAGCAGTTAAGAACAAGTGCAGTTCTTCCAGAAGACCCAAGTTCAGGCCCCAGCATCCATATCAGAAGTCTCACAACCACTTATATCTCCAGCTCCTGGGGATCTGATACCTTCTGGCTTCTGTGGGCTACACACCTGAGACAGACAGACACACACACAGACATAAATAAAGTAATTAATTAATTAAAAAGATAAAGATCCCCCTTAACGCTGTCAAGGTGGGGGAAGCACCACCCTTCTCTGAGGTCCGACTTGCAGTTAAAGGTTGCTGGAGGAGACATTTTCTGCAGTAGCGTAGTCACTGTTAAGCTACCCATGCTCCTGAGGGCAGCCCTAACTAAATTCATTAGTTTACCAAATATGTACATACATACATATCAGCTCGTAGGGTATAAAACACAGGGGTGTTACTAGAAAAAAAAACCTGATCAATATCAAGTTGCTTTCATTACTTCCCATGCTTTAAGAACATAGAAGCTCTATGTCTTCCAAATACTCTTCAGCTAATAACCTTGAAAGTCTATGGGTGTGTGCGCGAGCATTGTGCGTGCGTGCGTTTAATATACTGCAATATTTTAACACTGTATAGTAATTAGACTGCAATTTAATTAATATCAGGGAAATTTAGCTAAAACATGCATATTTGAGTACCATTTAGTATTTTTATGTTTACTTTCTCTGAGGCAAGTTAAAATATCTTTCCCTTTACTTTTACATGTTGCAATGACTTAGGTAAAAAAGCTGCATCTCTCATTTCCCTACAGTGAATAGCTGTCTTAATGAACATTTAAAGGAGGAGAAGAACCAGCTAAAGAGGTGAGGACATCACGTGGATGTGTATAAAAACACTGTGCTCTGGGGAGTCCTTTCAAGAGCTGCTACAAAATCCGACTCCAGACTCAAGAAAATAAGTTACGCTTTGGTATCTTAGTATCTTTTTTTTACTTATTTGGGCAACTTTCTCCATGAATAGAGAGGGCAGAATGAAATTCAAGTAATCCTTTGTCTTGTACTTCATGACTGCAATGCTGTTTGTTGCCGAGAATCTAGTTAGGCCACAGAGGTAACCATTACCAACTTATCTTGACTACACAGAGAGTGTAATTGTAAGCAATGAAATTTACCTTATCAGAAATCATGGCTTGTATCTACTAATCTGTATCTAGGTATATATTATAATTCAAAGGCAAAGAAGTTAGATGCCTTACGTGAAGGGTAGGGTGACCCACAAAAACAGATGATATGCTAGGAAATGTAGATGTCTTGAAAGCACACATTTTATGTTAGCTGGAGTGCATATACAAGTAAACATGTATTTCATAAATCAAAACCACATAAAATAAATACTGACAAATTATCTTTAATTCTCTCCTACAAGGGGCTCACCTGGTGGGATTCACCAGGTGGAAGGAGAGCAGTGACTTGTCCTGTGACTTCCACACACGAGCTTAGGCATGAAGGCCTACATAACACACAGTGGAATACACTAAAAATTTACGTAAAAAGCAAAACTCAAATTTTTCTACTACAGCAACTGTGTGCCAAGACCTTAAAAACCCATTCTTGCTAGGTGGTGGTGGTGGCGGCATACACCTTTAACCCCAGCACTTGGAAGGCAGAGGCAGGTGGATCTCTGTGAGTTCCAGGCCAGCCTGGTCTACAGCGTGAGTTCCAGGACAGCCAGAGCTGTTATTCAGAGAAACCCTGTCTTGAAAAACAACAAAACAACAACAATAAAACAAACCCATTCTTAAAATGCAAAGCCCTGCAAATGGTTAAGAAATGCTACAAAAATACTTGATGGATGTAATTTAGTTTTGAACCCAAATTCAAGGTGCTTTTGCTTACTCAGGGATTGTTTGCTCCTCCAAAAGCCATA